TGTTTGAAACATTTACCCCAGAACTGATTTTTACCTTTTTAATGTTTGATGACCTAATTTCAGATATAATAACATAAAATCAAACTGGTTGGTTTTATTATAATGCAACCATTTATTTCAAAGGTTCTAACAGAAAGCAAACAATCCATGAAGCTTAGATATATAAATGCATTAAAATTTGTCAGTGCTTGGTAATGAAGACTTTCAGAGGATAAATTCTACTTGATAGTTCTAGGAAAATGAATTCTGGAAGCTACTGGTATATGAAAATCTTTTCTTACAAATATTAAAACACTGACACATAATGGGAAGAAACAAGTAACATTCCACTGCCATTATATCATAATGTATTTGGTAAAATATATTTTTAACCTGAGATGGTGAGGATAGAACACATTATAGCTGCAACTGCAGTCATTTAATTTACCTTGAATAGATTGTCTTCATATTGAAATAGCTGCTTATGGTTACATTTTGACCTTCAAAGGACACACGCATCCTATGTAGCTGCTGCATAGGGCTCAATGCCTAATCACACTGCCAATCAAAATACAGTAAAGCAACCACATTCTGTTCCAAAACGAATTCTGCCTCTGTTGCAGAGGTATTTATAAAGTGTACTTGGTTACATGAACTAAGTCTTCTGTATTTTAATAACATGGGCTTCTGTTTCTTAGAATAATTTCGGTATAATTATATTTCTATTTGTAAAATGTCATGGTTTCTCAGCACTGTATCTATTACTGTTTTACTTTCTATTACTGTTCACACTGCATTTGCAGATTCATGATTCCTCTTCTCCTCAGACTGATCATTTTGGCTTTGCTTATGTTAACAGTTCATCGGCTCAGCAGAACACCACCGTTCACTTGGATAATGGTGAATATTGGTCCAACCGTGCAGCTGTGTATAAAGGAAAACCCCACAGAGCTATCTTTGAAGACAGCCTGGAGAAAATATACAGAAACATGTACAAAAAAGCTTGTGGCACCATTTCAAAAAGAAAAATACCCTCCTGATAGCAATACCACCAGAAATGTACAGTGCACAAGGTTACTATTTTTAATGAGAATTATTTTTGTGTAACAAATATTTGTACTCTATTTTTTAACATGGATTGTTCACTGGGAAGAACTCTTCTGGGCTAGTGGGGCTTTGAGGCTGGGACCCCAAAAGCAAAATTTTAAAATAAAAAGAAAATCTGAAACAATTAAAGTTAAGCAGGCGCATTGTTCCCTTAAGAAGCTAGGATGGTGCTATTTCACCCACCCCCTCTTCGTCCTTTTCAGTTCTGAAGCAGGCGCTGAGTAAAGTGGATGCTCCTATCAGTCATCAGTGCAGGCTTTGATTGCAGCCAACTCTGTTTCAGTTATTAGCAATTTAAATATAAGTGGTTGAAAGTGAAACCTGCCCCAGTGTTTAAAGAGCTAGTGAGATGATCATAGTACAAGACTATCTGTTTGGAGGGATTTTTTTAGAAGGATAATGTCTGCTCATTCCAGGTCTAGAAATGGAGAAGGGAAAAATTCTGATACAGTAGTAACCCTGTAGCTGTGTTGAAAGTGTTTCTCAGCACTCTCAGCCAGGAAATTTCTATTACTGGCAAGCTCTTTTGAAAAGAACTATCTATATATTATAAGAAAACATCTCTTCTTCATGCATCCCAATGTAACGCTGTCTAAAAGTTTCCAGGATCACTTTCGGAGCTCGTCGCTAGAGCCAGATGCCCCATGCAAGCATTATGAAGTCCCTGCATCACAATCCCACCACATTTGGAGCCCATCCTTACTAGCCTGCTGGGGATGTATTGGCAGCAATTGCATCTTTTCGTTAAAGGCCACCAAATGTTCGGCAGTAGTTGGATGCTTTCCCAGGAGAGGGAACCTTTTCAGCCTCACAGTGAACAGCTCCCACATTAACAGACCAGGGCAAGCTGCCCATCTGAGTGATTTAAAAGGGCAAGCATGTCCATCTCCCGCTTGTTTCTCCCATTTCAAAAGGAAATGTGTATCCTGGCGCATTCGCTACAGAAGCAGGCAGCTGGGACAGATTCAGTCACACTAGTGCCATCTTATATCTTGCTTTTGGACAAAGGAGAAAACTAGTCGTACAGATGGCAGGTTACAGTCCTAGATTTCTGCCATCATACGGGGATGGACTAAATGTTGGCCTACTCCAATCCGTGCTTTAATACTAAGATAACCTAATTGATTTAAGGAAGCAGCCAGCGAACGAGTAAGTCAGGTGCAGAACACATTGAAAGGCTGTGCAGCGCAGCTTTGGGAAAGGGGGCTTTTGAAGGAAATGTACTGAATACAGGCATTTCTGCTCCTGGTAACAGCTAAACCAATGGTTGGATTAACAACTCCATGTTCCTGACCTTGATCATGCTTGGCCCTTGCAGTGCTTTAGATTTTCAGAGTGCAAAACAAAAATGAACCAGTTATTTAACCCTCACAACCTCCTATAATCTAGAGAAGTATTAGTAAGTCACTTTTTAGAGATGGACATGTACAGCACAGACGTATCCAAAGCTTGGCACTCACCAGCACAGCAGGGTTTAGAATGTACAAGTTTCTAGATCCTGGCCCTGTGCTCATCCATTAAACTGGGCTGCTTTTCTGTGGCTCTGGTCCCTATTGGTCTGTACTACAATAGTTTTGTAATAGATAAAAATGACCAATGAAAAGATGGCGGGAAGAAACTGGGAAGACCACTTACGCATCATGAAAAGCCAAGGCAGAATTTGATTGGCTCTCTGCCAGCATGTGACCTAGAGTTACCCAACCAAAATCTACATTGCAAGTGCAGGTTGAAATGATTTCCTGATGTGAATGAGCACTCCGCCGTGAGTCCTGTCTTCCTGCCCATGCAGTCAACCCCTCCTTGTTCAGTAGTCCCTCCTGGCCTGACCTCAGTGTCATAGCTGAGTGAAAACTGTAAGCATGCACTTTACTACTGTTCAGGTAACCAGAGCAAAGCTGGTGTTTGCCCTAGGCATGCTAGACCTGCAGGACATGAAGCGTGTGCTGTGTATGCACACGCTCTGTGTGCCTCACCTTGACTGCTTCCTGTTGTCTAAAAAATTTTAGCAGCCACAAGCATCCTTCACAGTCTCGGCAGGACAGGTGTAATCGTGGTGTAGGGACTAAGAATATTTAGGATATCACCTGCTATCCTTTGTTTTGCACCTTGGCCCATTCTCTCTCTATGGGAAGGGATAGCTCAGTGGTTTGAGCATTGCCCTGCTAAACCCAGGGTTGTGAGTTCAGTCCTTGAGGGGGCCATTTAGGGATCTGGGGCAAAAATCTGACTGGGGATTGGTCCTGCCTTGAGCAGGGGGGTGGACTAGATGACCTCCTGAGGTCCCTTCTAACCCTGATATTCTATAATATAGGAGTGCTACTCACCACTACCCATCTCTGGTGGTTCAGCCAATTAGTTACTAATTTGAGCCCAATTAGTTAAACACATGGGAGGTGCTGAACATAGAGGTACAATCTCCTTGTGTGTGAGACTGGAGACCCCAGCCCCACATGTGCAGCCAGAAAATCAAGGAATGGGGGAAGACAGGGGAGAGACACCCACCTTGAGAAACCAGGATAATGAGTTGGAGGATAGAAAGTGTGGGCTAAAGGGGCAGGAGTTTGGTGGGAAAGACAAGGCTGTAATTTAAGTTCCATTTTAGCCTGATTGACAGGTGGCAATCCTAGTTCTTTAAATTTGGGGGGAACTTACAGGCTTGCTTAGTCTGGGCTTCCTTTAGGAAGAACGGGAGAGGAAACGAAGCGTTCATATTTGAATTTTGCTGGATAGGAATATTCTCCATATGAAGTTTTGCTATATAACGTAACGTGTGCTATAAATTGAATGGCCACCCTTTGGCCCCGCTCCTATTGTGTGTAGATGTTTTGCCTCTTAGAATCAGCTAGTATCATCAGTATCCGCTAACCACCTCTCTGATAGCAGGATTGTGCTTGTAATATGTACACCATGATCTAGCTGAAGGTTTTCTTCCAAACCCTGTATTGGAATCCAGTTCTGTTGTTAGGGGAAAACGTGTATGCGAAATGTGACTTAAGAGTCAAGCCACACAACTCTGTCCATCTGAAATCTGCAAGCCGTTTTTAAAACAAGTGTTTGGCCCCCTCCCCTGTTTGTGTGCTTGGCTACCCTTCTATTAATATGCATATAGCTCAAGTGCAGAGAAGACTGATTCTCCTCTGCTACTGCAGTGTGCGATAAGTATAGTCTCAGGCAGTGAACCAACATAGTAATAAACTGTGATTGTTTAGTGCACCTTGCCTTCTAATACAATTTAAATCCCTTCTGTCAAATGCAAATTTCTAGGTTCCTGAGCAGAGCTTTAAATAGCATTTTCTTGCTCAGTCCTTATCTTTTGCTATCCACAAAGTGGTGTGTTAGTGACAGTAGGATGGCATAATTCCACCACCAGCATTTTACCTGCCTACTCAAATCTAGAAATAATGGGATAGATTGAGAGAATTAGAGTTTATTGCATCAGTCTTTTTTTCCCTCCCCTGGACTGTCATAGCCCAGGAGTGTTCTAACCAGACATTATTTGCCTTTTTGGTATTGTGTGTGACACAAAATGTAATCAGCGTAATATTTTAATCACTTTTCTTTTAATAAGTCAATCTGAGGCTACTTTTGTCTCCGTTCCCACTGGGGCAGAAACTTAGTTTGCGCAAACACAAACTGTACAAACAGTGGGGCTCAATCACAAGTCAGGCTCTTTGCTAAATAGCAGTCACTTTAAAAATCCCTCAGCATTGCCCTGTAGTGATTAAGAGGTGGAAGTGACAAGCTCTTTAAGGATCAGCATTATCTAGCTTCCCAGCTAGAAGGATAGAAGCCTCAGCCTGGTCCCTTGAGAATGTCAGATGGCGCGGACGATGTGGAACGCCTCGGGTAATGAAGACACTGAGAATTTTTAGGCTCAAAATTTGAACTTCTTTAAACTCATTTGATGAGGAAAATGCTCCAGGTTCTCTGTACTGTATGTGTTTTGGGTTTTTGTAGACTAGCTCTTCAAGATTTCTTCACCTGAAGTTTTCAGTGAGTCACCAGAAAACTAAGAAATCTGTTAAAAGAAGCTAGTCTTCTTTGAAGTGTGTCCCTATGGGTGCCTCACTTCAGGTGCACATATACCTGTGCCTCTGATTGGAGATTTTTGGTAGCAGTGCCCATTCAGACTTCGCCTGCACCCTACACATCCACATGCCCCATTCTGAGGCTATATAGGGCTGTGTGAGTGCAGCGCCTTCAGTCCTTTCTCACCCACCTTCCCTTCACAAGCTCCTGGCCATATTGCAGACTTCTACTTCAGCACAGGTGGCACTGCCAATTAATGATGCTCTCCTTGAGCCAGCCCAGACCATCTGGAAAACTCCAGCAGTGGAACCCCCTACGTGCAAGTATGCCAATAAAAAATACTATGTCCCCAGCCAGGGATTCTGAGTTTTTGTTTTCACATCTGGCACCAAATTCTCTAGTCGTGGACACAGTTAATGAAAGGGGGAGTCAGCATATTTCTAAAGCTACCCCGTATAACAAGGACCAGAAGTGGCTGGAGTTTTTTGGTCATAAAAGCTACTCTTTGGCAACATTACAGTTTGGGATTGTGAATCAGCAAGCACTGATGTTGAAATGTAACTACCTGAATTATGAGACGTTTAATGTTTTCATTGACCATTTACCGAGATCCGTATAGTGCCATAATAAAGGAGGGTTAGCTCATGGCAAAGACATCTTTGCAGGCTTTACTTGATGTGGGCGACACTGCAGCCAGGTCTATTTCCACTGCAATAGTGATGTGCGGACTCCACAGACAGCTCACTTTATTCCCCAAATGACTCTAGGTCTACGCTTAGGTTCCTGGAGATATACATGCCTGCAAATAAAAAGAAATTCAGCAGGACTCAATCCGTGCAAAGATCCCATCCTGCTTAATGTTCCACCCTCCGTAGACCATCTGAACCGCCGGCTAAGAGGTCAAGATTTTCTAAAAAGGAGCTAGTGACTAACTTGAATACTTCATCCGAGCCAATCAACATTTCCCAAACTTCACTTTGAGGGTTTAGTTGGGAGTTTGAACCACCTGATATGGTTTCTCGGCTACACTATTCCACCCCTTTCCCTTAATTTGGACACTGTCTCTCGCTATTCCAACGGGTTACTGTCTCCCATGCATCAGACAAATGGGTATCAGCCGCTGTTACTTCTGGTTATATGATCCAATTTATCTCCATCCTGCCCTCCCACCCGCCTTTTCCTTCTCCCTTCAGGGACCTTCTCACGAT